TCGTCGGAGAATAGTGAAAACACATGCGCATGATGTAGTAATGACATTGATAGGTGAATTATTATTTGAAAACCGCATACTATTTACCGATAGCATTTAGTGTCCCTTTGGCCGAGGAACTTCTGCAAAAAAGAATATTTATTTGTGGCACTATAAATATGAATAAAAAATTTCTACCGCCGCAGACAAAACAGAAACAGCAACGGGGTGGTTTTATGAGCTTTCAAATTCGGAGCGACGTTAAATTTTTAAAATGAACTGACAAAAGGCCAGTATATATGCTAGCTACTTCCAAAAATTACAGGTGTGTTATTATTTAGGGGAAAAATAGTAAATTAAAGCCAGACACTGTTTTTTTTATAATGATGCTAAAAATGGGGTTGATCTAACCGATCAGATGTCATCTTATTATAGTTGCTTACGCAGAACCGTAAAATGGTATAGAAAAATTGTAATAGAATTAATATGCGGGACTTGCCTCGTAAATGCGTGGTATGTAGATAGAAAATGGGGTACTAAAAGTATTAAAATTTTAAAATTTCGCGAAAAAATCATTAATCACCTTTTAAGTACAGTGAATCCCCACAGAAAAGAAATGCCAAGTGAGAATGAAGTACTGGCCAAAAAACATTCACATTTTCTGCAGTCATACCAAGGGCCCGCGAGAAAAACGAAACGGCGGTGTAAATAATGTTATAAACGCATTTCTAGAATAAAAGGTAGAGAGTATGAAGCCAAATAGAGAATAAAGCCAAAAAAGTAACAACATATTGTGATCATTGTAAGGGCCAGTCGGCACTCTGTCTAACATGTTTTAAAAAATTGCATAATATGTAATTAATTATGTTAAGTTTATAATATTGAATTGTTATGTTTTTACTAGTTGAATGTCTGTTTATAATATTAAGATAAAATAACATAAACCTATTATAAGATATTAACAAATATCATAATCAATTCTATAAAAAATTATATTCAAGCCCAAAATTTTCAATTTTTTGATTTCATATTTTGTATATTATAGTGATCCGAGTCCGTTTCTGAATTGTAGCAAATTGCTCTTCCTTCTCTATTTTGTAGCGACATTTTCAGGTTGAAGATTCTACAAAATTATAAAGATACGGATCGGCATGTTAACACTTTACCGACTGATAGTCGATTAATCGATTTTTTGTCGTCGACACTTACGGACCAATAGCCTATTAATCGGCTTTTTCTCGCCGACAATCTGTTTCATTATTTGAGCATTTGTTATTTAGTACTAAGGTACCTTGCTCAGTTGCGTCGCTTTGTAAGCTCCCACAGTTTTATTAATTTAATTTAAATTAATTGAAAAGCTTACCGTTCACAGTTTTATACCAGTTTGAAAAACTTACCGTTCACGATGAACGAAAAGAATGGTATTGGGGAGTCTAAACCGAAACAGAGCCGGCGCTAGGGAGAATCTGCGCTTGAGCTGCCGGTCAGACGTGCGTATGCTGTTGAACCGCTAGCGGTCAGTAAAATGTTAAAAAGAATATCTAATAATGGTATATGTTATAAACAATGTAAAAACGGAAAATAACGGATACATTCGTAAAATTCAGGGCTCCTTCGTTGCCTTATTAAGGTTCCTAACACGTATACACACGCGCAGCCCAACCCAAAAACTACAGAAGGCGACGCTGGGTAAACCATAGTTAGTAATGGAACAAGAGAAAGGAAACGCTAATTGATGTAATTTAGTGATCGATGTACATACATATATCTTTTATAGTAATTTTACATTGATTGAAATGGAAACAATTACACAAGGATGTGCCAGGTTTCCGCGGTCATCCTTTTCTTCGTTTAACCAATTAACAACGAAGCCTATTT